TTTAAATTTATCCTAACGAACAGCGAATACGACAAGAATAGAAAGCAACCAGGAGCTACAACTTCACCAGTAAAAGCACCATAATTTCTACCGTTTATAGAATAAAAATGAATGACAAAGATGAGCTTAATAAACATTATGTGAGCAGGAGACGGACAAAAAAAGCAACTGAACTATAAATAACAAGTGATTACTTGAAAATATCAATAGACTACTTGATATTACATGACGGGAAGAAACTGTTTTTCTTGGGGCTCGTCTGCTCATATTCTTATGAAGTGAAAGCTCATACATCATAATCGTTGGTGTGTGTTCCAACTAACTGAATGAATCGGAGAAACTCGTGATAGGGTTGGCTATAGTTTTCATATCTAGAGTCGAGAGTCTCTGAATGATATTCTGTACTTCTGTATTTGTAACAAGTTGATATTTTACTCATAATTCGAACACAAATATAAATTTTAACCGCGTTTAATTTTGTGGAAGTTTAGTACCGACTACCTAGATCAGTCTTTCGGTGAGTGTTCCGGCCAGTGTTGAAAAACAAGGAGAGGGGTTGACAAAAAACTATAGGAGAGAAGGACGTGTTGGGCGATCATATGCATTTTTCTTTTTTTGTAAAATCTTGTCTGGTAGCTTCAAACCCATTCTTTTTTTTTCGTTGATCTCTAGTCTACAGCCAAACACAATGCTCCTAGCACTCTAGCAATCAAATTATCAGAAAATTCAATTAACTCGATAACTTTGGATGAGTTTAAAATGAATATTATAATGGGGATAATAAGCAAAGACACGAAAGGACAAGAACAGCAACATTATACTAACTCTAACATAGTTGGTAACAAAGTAAACTCCATCCACTAAAACTCCCTGTTTCTTACGTCAGGTAAATTAATGAGATGACAGTGTGTACATATACATATATATTCCATTGACTCCAAAATTATGAATGAATGAAAATCCCGTTCCCCCCAACTTATTTAAATAAATTACTGAGCATGCTACGCCACTGTTTGTTTGTAATTTAACTTTATTTCTTATTTAATGTACTTAGATAAAAAGTATTACCACTATAATCCTATTTTAAATATTGACTACATCCTTAGCCTAAAAATTTGATGTTATGTTCAAAATTGTTTTCAAATACTGTTCAGAATCATTCACTCTCGTTCACTCTTATAGTTAAAAAGGAAATAAAAATTTTATGTTTAATTATATTCTTTTATAGTAGGCTAAATTTCAGAAAACGTCAAATAATTTTGCGAAAAAATTCAACTTCCGAAATTTTTGAGAACTTTTAGTATCCGTCGAATGACTACAATACGCAGTTCACTGCACTGTAGCAGAATTTGAATAGATCCTAACAAAAAGAATGACCAATATGACAAGAATAATGACCAAAACAGCAGCTACAACTGCACCAGCAATAGCTCCAATGTTTCCACCGTCTACAAGATAAAATTGTATGACAAATCATAACATTACCAACAAATTTTGTCCTTCAGCCATCATTTTTGTAAAGCTGAGGCTGTAACCGCTCTCACACCTCATGTATTCATCCCTGTTAACTATTCATGATTTATTTATGGTATAAGTTAGGTTTGCAACGCAATGAAATTAGAGAAGAGGTATACAAAATCAATAAGGCAGTTATTTATTGGAATTAATTCGGCTGTATCATCAAACAATATGTATATTCATCGTTAAAAATTTTCAGGCATTTCACTATACTGAAATTTGCAAAGATCTTGAATCATTGCACTTTAGACATCGATAAACTTCCTTATGCTATTGAAAGCAAACACAAACCTGAAGACTTGTGCTTTTGGAGAGTTGCTGCCACTGGACTCCAGTCAGTGGAATAATAATCACCCTGAAACGAAGTGAACATTTATAATTCAATAAAAATTGCAGCAATCAATGCTGATGAAAACGTAAATAAATGGTCGCACCTGATCATTTATGAAAACGCGCTGAAATATTTTGTAGCTAGTGCCAGGTTTTAGCGGGCCATTAAAATAATTTTCACCATTGGAACGCCGTGTTGTGTTTTCACCATCACCAAGTGTAAAATCAGGCTTAAAGTCTATGCGAGAGACTACAGCAGCAATATACGGCATTGGTTGTGAGGAAAATATGGCCTTAGAATAAGTCACTAAGTCTGTGTTTTTAAAGTTGGAAGGCAGTCGACTCTCTTCTGTGATATTTTTCATCGCGACTACATAGAAATATCTGCAAATATAAGGCAAAACATTTTTTAAAATGCATGCATAACCTCTGCTTTTGTTAATCGTTAAAATATGTGTTATGCATGCATCCGCAATGCCAAAGAAAAGCGACGAGTCATAAAAGCTTTTCCCAGAGAGATATTTAGACTACCTCAATCCCACATGAAACTGTCTTATACTTAGCCATGAATACGAAAAACTCAAAAAATACTTTTAAGTTCCTTTACGTTTTTTTACAATAATTTGCTCTAGTAAAATACATAGTTACCGGTATTCCAAATATGGATTTTGTAACAAATAAGTCAATTTATTTCCAATCTGCTTGGTGGACAGTTCAGGTGCCACTAAAAAAATAAACTTGAATAAATTTATCAGCTTAAACAAACCTGTGCATAAACCATAGACAACTTACATCTATTTGTAAATACCCATTTACCATTGCTGTAACATCCAGATCCCACTATTGTAGAAGCTAAAACACGAACATAATATTTTGTCCCTGGTTTCACATTATTTATGACCAAACGCTGTTCCTCGATCATATACTTTATTGAACAGGTTTCATTCTCCAAATGTGTAATACAAATAGTGTAACTGACTATCTTTCCATTTGTTTTGTTCTTGTCTGGTGGCTCCCACGTAACTGATAACGATGAACTGCTTAGGGCGACAATTTGAACATTTAAAGGTGGACCTCCGGGAACTAAACAAAAATAAAAACATATGTTTTAAAGATTTATGTAAAACATTAAAAACACTTTAGAAAGAAGTCCTAACAAGTGTACACTGTCATTGTTAACTTAAGTATAATACATTATTAGAAAAACATGATTGAAATAAATGTCGACCAGAAAAGATTTGAGCTTTCGAAAGTCGTCCAGGACAAAATAAAATCATCAATGCAATAACAGACGATATGTATACACAAAAACTGATATGAACTCACCATCTTCAGCTATTCTAAAAGTAGCTGTAGTTGATCTACCAAAGCCTTCAGAATTGCCAGCGGTTACATTAACTGTATATGTTGCGTAAGGAACAATATTCGTAATGTTGTACGGTTTTTTGTCAGTTACCTCCAAAGTTTTATTGAAAACAATCATAGTATCCTTCAGCAAAATCAATAGATATCTTGTAAGAGGATTCGAGATATTTGTACCAAGTTTCACACCAGTGTTTTTGGGATGTTTCCATGATATCTCGAGGTACGTCGATGCAGATTTGGTTGCAATGAGATCTGTTGGTTTGTCTGGGAGTAAGTCTGCACGATAAAAGAAAAATCTACAAATTGAATCATGTGTAGCCCTTAAATGAAATCAGTCTTTCTGCTTTTTCTTCAATAACACGTGTTAAACTTAACTGCATGTTGAAAAGGCTTGTTTCAATAAGTTTATTTCATTACAGAAAAAAACTTAACACTTCAGCCTTCATGGAAAATTGTTCACTCTTGTCAACTAACACTTATTTAATTAAATCTCAGAGAAAAAACCTTTATATACTGAGTAATTAAAGTGCTTACAGTACAAAGTAAATCTGGTAAATTTTTTCACCTCTTACCTCCACCACAAATTTCAATTCGTATACACGGTGCACCAACAAATTTCAATGGAAAGATTCGCAAAGCTTTTGATTTAAGGCCACCAGAAAACTTTTCTATAGCCGCATCATTGTAACCATTTTTGTTTCCTAGATAAATCTGGAATAAAACAAAAAAAATTGATTTACGTGAATTTGCAGAGCAAGGTTAGAGAAAAGCCAGGTTTGTTTAACGTTGTCCAGAGGAGAGTAGTTTATGCATTGTCTATGTATCTCTTCAAATCATGGACATCGCTACAATTTAAACTTTATAATCAAATTCAAGATTCTTCCGTAGTGCTGGAGTAACTAAGATAATCAACACAGTGATGTAGCTAGCCCACAAATTTGGTCGTGCTATATGTAAATTTTTCAGAGCTCACTTACTGTAAAAACTATGGATCTCTAAAGAAATGAATAATGATAATGATCTGAAATTTACATAGAACCAGCAATTTTGCGTGCCGGCTACACCACTGAATCAACATCTGCACACAAGCTTGTATATAAATAGCAATTTAAAAGTTTACTTAGTTTATAAATTCATTCCTTTTTTAAATTTTTCATTAAATTTATAGTATACAAATTCGATAATTCTACCGTTACCTTCTGGGTTTTTTCAGATTTCCAGTTCACACCATCAATGTTTGTCTGCAAGTGAAATTTAGTTACAAAGCTTGAACTTGAACTGTCACCAAAGATAGCGATAACGTTAACTGTATAAAGACTCGGGAAATTCAGTTGAAGATAATAACTGCCATCTGCAGCAGGAGCACACCATGAACTACCACTGGATATTCTTGCTTTAGAAGCATTACGACTCTTTGGGAAGGCAGTAAACCAAGAATCATGGAATATTTCTGCGTTTTTTAATAGAGGATTATCGCAAACATGACCTTAAATAGAAAAGGGATTTTGTTGAAATTCATTACAACATTAGAACTGGTTTGATTTGATAGAGAGCAATGATGCAATCCCATGTTTTTCTCCATTCACAAAACATTGCAAAAATTAAAAATTGTTGTCTGAAGAAAGAGAAAGAGAGAGAGAGAGAGAGAGAGAGCACAAGAAGTACTTGAGGAATACAACTGATTTTGCATGCTTTTATTAAGGTTAAATTCCAGTTGGAATCAAGCTAGCTATGACAAGAAACCGTAAGTATCTTGTCAAATAGCAGCAATACGGTAGCGATATAAATTCTATTAAAGAGTGAACGTCAATCATCGTGCAGAGCAATGGCAATTGGACGTTTTTTGAAGCACGAAATGAACTAGCAAGAATAAAATTAATTTAATCCTCACTATTCGCAGCAACCCTGTCTGAATTAATCATTATCCGTGAGTAGCAATCGTTTATATTTTGATATATTTGTAAAAGAATAATTGTGAAATTCTCTAAGCTAGCGTAAAATACAGTGACACCACGATGACAGACGTAAGTCTTGATGATAGGAGTAAGTCATGATGCTTAACAAAGACAGATGTAAGTTGCGAACACAAAAGTAACACATTCATTCCTTAAATTCTTCGCTCAATACTTTTTCTAACGTCATACAAATGTGTCCTACAATACGTTAACACATTCAAAAAATTGAACAAGAATCCTTACATGTAACGTACGAGTATTGAGAGCAATCATTATTTTGAGTGATAACACATTGAGATAGATCATTCACTCGAGCATCACATTTGACAATTCCAGGTATAAAAGATTGGTGTATGAAAGATGATATTGACATTGAGCCTTTCACAGATGCTGCGGTAGGATAACCAAGTTGCTTACAGATAATGGTATTCATTTTATGCAAAAGACTGTTGTTGCATATGGTGAAGTTTCGAAACTTGGTAATAACATTCACGACACCTTCACTGGGAAGATTCGAGTGAGACAGGCGTACATCCATAACTACACAAATCAAAAATACTTTTTCCTTTAAAATGATCATGGCGCATATCTTAAAATGAAATCTGTGTTTTTAAAAATGGTTTTATGAACATAAATATGTCAAATCCCGTCAATGAATAAAGTATATACACGGAGTTAGAATATCAGAAAAACACAGAAGGTGAAAATAACTTAAAAAAAATTATAGTCAGAAAGCACTTAACCAGAAATGTTTCACACATTCCGATGGACACAGTATCTTATAGATTTAGAGTTAAAGTTGGTATGCACTGTTTTTATTTTAATTTTTAAGTCGACAATGAACTGCAGACAAATAAGTTGAACAGAGAACTTTACTTTTGTGTTGTAAACACGAATCACATCAAAATATGTCCAAGTGAGTTTGTGAATCATTAATGAAACCAGAACAAATACTGGTTTTTTACAGGTGAGCGCTGCGTTTAGTTTCCCAATTCATATGAATTGTAATGAATATGTCTTTGTATATATATGCAGTATATATGAAAATTCTGTAGTGGGAATTCATGAAAATACGAATAAAAATCCAATTGTAAATGTCACTTTTGGCCTACATAGAATGACCAAAATATTTTAAAAATGAAATAGATTTGGTAAATCAAAGTGACTGGAATAAGTGATGTTTCCATGAACAAAGTTTGCATTAACAAACTAAAAACACAAAATTGACCAAACCTTTAAACTGAAGCAAAATATTGAGGACACAAGTTTAAATGTCATATTATTTAAAGACACTAAATTAAACCATACGAGATAAAACTGCATAAACAGACCACGCTTGGTGAAGATACCAGACGAAAATTCAAATTTGTTTCAATTTTTCTAAATTGATAACGTACATATTATAAAAATGAACACCATACCTTTGCGCATTAAGGTCAAAACTTGTCCCGAAACAATTATATCATAAGCAAAATATAATCTGCTTGTATAATACTTACGATTGCAAATTTTTCTGTATGGCATACTTGTGTAGTTACATTGATATTCAAAGTAAAGATATTTCTCCAAACCAGGACAAATATTTGAAGGAAAATGATTATCGTCAACAGTTATATTACATTTTCTTTCACCATCACAGTAATTTTTAAGGTCACATGTTACATCGACACTCCAACTTTGGTTATTACTGAAGCCACAAATGCTTCCTTTTCGCAGTCCACGATATTCTGCAACTTTTATCACCATATATTGATTATTAGAACAACTAACGTCGGATATATTTTTTCCAGCACATGTCACTGATCCTATAGAAGACACACAAAAATAAGTACATTCCAATTTATACAAGCTTATTTGTGAATTCTTGTAAAATAAAAGTTTATTTGATTAAAATGAAGTGTGTGATGGCAGTGACTTTACTGGCGCTATTCCTATATCTGTGGCCTTGCAGTGGCTTTTAATCAGAGTTTAAGTAAATATAAACTAACTGGGTGAATATTCTCACTTACCAAAATTGAATCGCTGATCTTCTTCATTTTTACAACTGACATGTCCCAAGAAGCCAGATCCTTCTGAAGCTATTATACATTTATTAGAGCGCAAAAGGAATAGACCACCCCAAAATGTTTGGGTTATATTATTGATGGCTCGGCATTCTCCATTTAAATTTAGATAAGAGCGCAGCAAAGAAATTCGGTTGCCTCCACTCGAAAGACAATCTTTTGTATGCATGTTCATGATTGAGCCTGATTGTAAAAATCTAAAATTAGCTTTTATGTGAAAACACTTCCATGTAAACCCGAGTAAATGTCCAGAATATTCATAAACACATTTTCTTGACTGAACATTTTTGATAAAAAATCCACCCATATCTGAAAAAGGACAATGATATATGATAAAAATGATTGAAAACATCACACTCTATAAAATGTATGTATATAAAATAATAGGACTTTATCAAAAATAATTTAGCATACTGAATTCTATCAATATAGGAAAAAACACTCCAAAAAAAGACATCTTGTAATTCAACTTTTCTAAAGAATTCAATAAACAAATTGCTGTTGAGGGTCATTTTAAAAATAATGGCGTATAAAATAATTTTAGGCTTTCAGCATGGAGCATTGAACTAAAATACATGGAGCGCTACCTGTAATATAAACCCTAATAATTTTTAAAGCCGTGATTTTTCCCTAGACACCCGAGACTTTTCCCAGACACGAGAGTGTAGTCAATCACTTATTACTTCGCGAAAGAGTTTGAAACATTAAACGCGCGCGTCTTGGGTAAAATCTCGCGTGTGTGGCGTAAGAAATGGCTTCAATTATTTGCCCGAGGTAGCGTTCCATGTATTTTAGTTCAATGGCATGGAGACAGAAAAATTTTACAAACAAGTTGAAAAGTGTAAAAAATGAATCAATACAAATTTTACGGCGCACGATCTGTTACAATGGAAGGGGGAGAGTTATCGTTTGTTTAAACAATTTTAGTGACTTATTGGGCCACCTATGGAATCTTTTTCTTTTTAATTTTTTTAAGATTGTTGGCTGAAAGCTGGTTTTTCAACTTTGCCAACTCATCTGTGAAGATTAAACTGTATAAACTCCCATGTCTTTTGTTTTTTATGAAAAGGACGTTTATCTGAATACTGAATACAAATTTGTGCCTAGAAAAAGTTGATGATTTAGGTCAGTATTATACAAATTTGAAGACAAGGAATATATAATTCAATGTAAAACTAAATTATGAACTCTGTAAGCTGTACACTCTCTTTTGGTTTAGTTCATTTAAGTTGTGCTGTGAAGTAGTGCTCTTGATAATAAGAATACCAGAGTTGCACAATTTAAAATTCCAAACACTTCAAATAAATATCATTCCCAGGGCTTATACAAAATCGTGAGGCTTTTTTTACAGGTTTATACAGGTTTATGCGTGCAGGGAGAGATGCATAGAAATATGTACAGGGATGTTATACACAGAGTTAATATACAAGGAAATTTATTTCTACTGAAGTGATATGTAAACATTCTCCTGTGATAAATATTTAACAAATTTTGGATTAAGTTGAGCATTATATTAAACAATATTCAGACTGAGGTCAATTGGATATCTACCAAAGCTAAGCCGAGGGGTATAGCGCTGACTGCAGTCTGATTGCAAAATTTTTGCGGTTCGCTTTCGTCTTTTTCCTGTAAATACGCGATGAAAAGTCTCTGGACAGACAGTTTAACACTTTCGGTGTTTTTACGTCTTTATTCTCGATAATTTGAGCAAAAGTGAACAAAAATGTAATGAAATATTTAAGAACTGACAATTTATATTGAAAAGGAAATCAATACCTTTTTGAGGACAAAATTTCGTCCGTAACCACAACACTATCCAAATTTTTACAATTCGCCATTAAATTAAATCATACGAGATAAAACTGCATAAACAAAGCACGCCTGGTAAAGACACCCGACGAAAATTCAAATTTGTTTATACTTTTCTAAATTGATAACGTACATAGTATAAAAATGAGCACAATACCATTGCGCATTAAGGTCAAAACTTGTCCCGAAACAATTATATCATAAGCAAAATATAATCTGCTTGTATAATACTTACGATTGCAAATTTTTCTGTATGGCATACTTGTGTAGTTACATTGATATTCAAAGTAAAGATATTTCTCCAAACCAGGACAAATATTTGAAGGAAAATGATTATCATCAACAGTTATATTACATTTTCTTTCACCATCACAGTAATTTTTAAGGTCACATGTTACATCGACACTACAACTGTGGTCATAACTGGAGCCACAAATTCTTCCTTTTCGCAATCCACGATATTCTGCAATTTTTATCACCATATATTGATTATTAGAACAACTAACGTCCGATATACTTTTCCCAGCACATGTTACTGATCCTATAGAAGACACACAAAAAAAAAGTAAATACAAATTTATACAAGCTTATCTTTAAATTCCTGTAAAATGAAATCTGATTTGATAAAAATGAAGTGTGTGATGGCAGTGACTTCACTGGCACCATTCCTATATCTGTGGCCTTGCAGTGGCTTTTAATCAGAGTTTAAGTATATATACGTTAACTGGATGAATATTCTCACTTGCCAAAATTGAATCGCTGATTTTCTTCATTTTTACAATTGGCCAGAAACACCCCGAACCAACTTCCTGGATTTACTATACATTTATAATAGTGCGAATAGAATAGACCACCCCAAAATGTTTGGGTTATGGCATTGATGGCTCCGCATCCTCCATTAAAGTTTTCATTAGGTAACATCAAACGACTTCCGTTTCTTACTCCCACAAGACAACTTGTTGTAGTCTGCTTCAAGATTGAGCCAGATGGTAAAAATTTAAATTTTTTTTTCGCACCAAAACAATTCCCTGTAAACTGTAATGAAAGGACTCTAGGGATGTGTGCTGTAATATATTGAACACACATTCCTGACTGAACATGTTTGATGAAAAATCCACTCATATCTATAAAAGGACAATGATACTTGATAGAAATGATTGAAAATATCACACTCTACAAAATATGTATATATAAATAATAGGACTTTACCAAAAATAATTTAGCATACTGAATTCTATCAATATAGGAAAAAACACTACAAAAAAAAGCCATCTTATAATTCAACCTTTCTAAAGAATTAAATAAACCATTGAATTGCTGTTGAGAGTCATTTTACAAATAATGGCGTATAAAACAATTTAAGGCTTTCAGCATGGAGCATTGAACTAAAATACATGGAACGCTATTTTTAAAGCCGTGATTTTACCACAGACACGCGAGACTTTTCCCAGACACGAGTGTGTAGTCAATCCCTTATTACTCCGCGAAAGGATCTCGAAACATTAAACGCGCGTGTCTTGGATAAAATCTCGAGTGTGTGGCGTAGGATATGGCCTCAATTATTGGCCTGAGGTAGCGTTCCACTTATTTTAGTTCAATGGCATGGAGACAGAAAACTTTTACAAACAAGTTGAAAAGTGTAAAAAATTAATTAATACAAATTTTACGGCGCACGGTCTGTTACGATGGAAAAAGGAGAGTTATGGTTTGTTTACGCATTTTTAGTGATTTATCGGGCCATCTATGGAATCTGTTTCTTTTGCAGTTTTTTAAGATTGTTGGCTGGAAGCTGGTTTTTCAAATTTGCTAACTAATCTGTGAAGCTTAAACTGAATAAACTCCCATGTCTTTCGTTTTTGATGAAAAGGAAGTTTATCTGAACACTAAATACAAATTTGTGCCGAGTAAAAAATGATGATTTAGGTCAGTATTATACAAACATGAAGAAAAGGAATAACTAATTCAATGTAAAACTGAATTATGAACTCTGTAAGCTGTACACTCTTTTTGGTTGAGTTCATTTAGGTTGTGCTGTGAAATAGTGCTCTTGATAACAAAAGTACCAGAGTTGCACAGTTTAAAATTCCAAACACTTTAAATAAATATCATGCCCAGGGCGTAGACAAAATCGTGAGGCTTTTTTACTGGTTTATACAGGTTTATACATGCAGAGAAGAGATGCATACAAATATGTACAGAGATATTGTACAGAGGGTTAATAAGAAATGAACTTTATTTCTACTGAAGTGAAATGTAAACATTCTCCTGTGAAAAATATTTAACAATTTTTGGATGAAGTTGAGCATGATGTTAAACAATATTCAGACCGAGGTCAATTGGATATCTACTGAAACAAAGCTGAGGGGGATAGCACTGACTGCAGTTTGATGAAAAAATTTTTGCGCTTCGCTTTTTTCTTTTTCAAGTAAATACGCGATGAAAACTCACTGGACTGACAGTTTAACTCTTTTGGTGTTTTTTTCGTCTTTATTCTCGATAATTTGAGCAGAGTAAAACACTTGAAAATCTCGAAGATAATTCCACCAAAATATTTCTTCTATTTACAGTTGTCTCATAAAGAAAATTACGTCACCTACAGATAATTTTCAATGTTTTTCAAGGTGATAATATATTGACAATTATTTGAAGGCTCTTAGCCAATGACAATCGAGATTGCATCACCATTGTATTATAATAATAAAGCTTAACAAGCATAGATCAATATATGAACACCTTAACCCTAACCCTCACACCCCTTAGCAAACAACAAAAACCTTCCAATATGATCGTTACTGAATAAAATCAATAAACGCAAAAATATAACCAATACACACCCTTGAATTGAGCTTTTGCCCTTAAACAGGTTTACATTATCATAAATGTATGACGAATTAAACATGTTTGGCTATTCCGGGAATGTATTCTATTAGTTTTGCAATTGCAAAGAAATTTTACATAAAAGTATATGTACATTATGAAATAAATATAGGTCAAAGTGCCGTATGGATTTGACCAAAGTTGAATATGAAGCACTATAATCAAAATGGTGCACAATAAATTAAACTGACACAGGAGAAACTAAAATGAACTGCCTTGTATGTACCTTGTCTTTCTTCGTTCACGTTGATGACAACATAACAAGTGTGATTTTTTCCACCGTATAAAACATACTTGTAAGGGATTTTGTGTTGTCCGAGTCCAAAGCCACCAAAAGGTTTAAGATATAACTTTTCTATTGTTTCATTTATGTACTTATGTGAACATGTGAAGTCTTCTGGTTCTTTCCATTCTGCGTATCCAAAATAACCAAAATTGAGTAACGTAGCAGTAACGTTCAATATAATCGAGCTGCATCCGCATGTCCCTAAAAAAAATAAGTTATCTTTAACTAGTTGTCCAGAGAAAAAGAACAAGTAGAAAGTGAGATTCATTTGGCCACAAAATGTTACAAACTATCCTTATTGAATCGAAAGTCTTTGTTAAACCCAAATAGACAATAAATATACAGACTATATAATATAACTGAGAAAATTACTATTTTTGACTCTACTGTCATACTTTTTTTGCTTTTGTAACTAGACAGAATAATAATGAACGAGAGATTATGCTGCGTCAATGCTCTGAAGCTAGTGTATCCAAATGAGTTGAGTACTTTAACATGTACCTTACGGGTTTAAACCATTTATTTTATGTACCTTACTTTAATGCACTTTCTAAGAACACGGTTTTAATTAGCGTTATTTAAATTAAACAGTACCTCAGTAATATAAGTGCTGTGATTGTTTGCCAAGTACATGGCCAGTTGATGTTCTGTACTTACTGCAAACTGAACTGTTGTTTACTTTACCTTCAAGTGGACATATTTCACTAAACATTTTAAATCGTTCCAAAAGATAATTCTTCTCCTCAGCACAACAACGTGTACGAGTATTGTTGCATTTCGAATCGATTTCAATTTTATCCGCCACAAATTTCTTCCATTCTTCCTCACAGAAATCAAGCTCTTCATTCCAACCCATTTTCATTGTGATTCCTTTACAAAATGACAGCCACAATAACCACCATATCATTAAACTCATCATTGCATAGATCCAAGGATATACAGTAAAGTTCTAAATTATAATTGATTGTTGGATGTATGTACGTTATCACAGAAGACTTTAAATTTATATTTAGACCGACAATGACTACGTCACAATTACATCTTTGATGCAAGCAGATCACGATCAAACATATTTTTGAGCAATATACTAACATTATCTAAAAAATTCTTTTTAGCAAAATTGTGCAGCGAGAGAAACTGTTCAGAAATAGATCGAGTTAGTCTCATATGGCTGCATGATGGCTCTCTCAATGGTAGCCATGGCAGCTATTATATATGTACGTGGTTATAATTTTTTTAAAATATGAAACTTGGTTATCTTTCAATTTATGCTTTATTCTTTTTACTCAGTTGAATCTAAATTTCAACTTTTTGTGTTTCAAGAGATTTATTGAACGATAAAAAATGCTTTTTAGTGAATAGCGCTAAGGAAACGAAGAAAGCGAGATCAAATTAAATTTAATGCAGATCATTTATTTTAGATACAATAGATTAAGAACCTCGGACGATGTTAAAATTCTTTCTCTGAATATGAAAACAATTGTGCATGCAGAGCTTCCCATTAGTAATTTCATTTCAATTTCCCGTTACCTCATCATACACGTAAATAAGGCCCGGTTCAAACGTCGCATTTTACATGCGCCGAATCAAATCTGAGTTTTAGTCGACTAAAATAGTTTTATGCGTAGTTTGATTCAGACGTCGAATTTAATAGTCGCATTTATTATAGTTATGCTTCCACTTTTTCATAGTTTATTCATTTTCTTGTACTAATTTCCTAAAATGGCGAACAGGAAAATGTTGAGTTTATGCATTGCAAACATGATTCGTGTTAATAGGAAAAGACGAATATTGATGCATGTTACAGTAAATAAACTATTAGAAACGAGACGGCAACTTCTGCAAATTTCCCATGTTTTTCTACCGTTAATTGGTCAAAAAAATGCCTTCATACGTAGCCCTCCTTATCGATCATGTCGAAGACAAGATAGAAATTCCGGCTGGTGGAAGAAAGTTTGGAGTATTTATTCTGATTCAAAAAAACATTTCGTGTATCTCGAGGAAACTTTCCTTGTACATATAAATTTTTTGCACTTTAAACAAGTGTATTTTGTTAAACTTGTGCACGAAATACAAGGGCCATTACCATCACTCGCCGCCGCCATGTTTTTACAACTTTGCACATGGCATTTAGCATGGAAATAATTGATTTTTGCTTAGAAATATCTTAAAATAAATTATGCATTAAATTCGGCTCATGTAAAATGCGACGTTTGAATCAACATCGAATTTCCGTCGAATATTCGACTAACTCAGTCGAATATGCGACTAAAGTCGCATTAAATTAAAATCCGTCGAATTTAATTGATTCAAACGTCGCATTTTACATGCACATAATTCTCGCATTTGATTCGGCGCATGTAAAATGCGACGTTTGAATTGGGCCTAACCTTTGAAATCATAAAGTACTTTACAATTTCTTGTAACGCCGCCTCTATAGCTGTATAGCTATACCCGTATTGTCTCTTTAGCTATACCCGTATTGCATTTTCATTCGAATTTTATACTTCATCGAATTAAACACATTAGGACCTATAAAACAGCCAAATTACTTAGTTGACAAATTCATAAAGTTACAGTTGAAAAATTAACTAAATAAATTAAAAATTTCAAACAATAATGACCAAAAATAATGATGAAACTAGTGTTAGATATGTACTTTACATACACAGCGGAGCTTTATTTCTATTGGGAGGAAGTGCTCGCGATATAAATGAACGTCGATATTAAGGGCAGCTAAGTAGTTTTGGCTTTCAGCGTTATCTTGAGATTGCTCAAATTCTTTTATAAAAACTTACAGAAATATCACAGAAAATCATGGAAATATTTTGCAATTTTTTCCATTTTTTCAATATTGTTGTTACTCCTTTGTTTGCAGTTATTCGTGGAGTACTAACTGACAATGAATACTTCATAAGAATCGAAAATCTCAAGCGGATTTCTTTTCTATTTTTTGCAAGTTCCACTGAAGAACAAAATTATTTGCAGAACAGTGAAATAGGGTTTGTTTTTGATTTAGTTTAGAGATTTGAGCAAAAATATAATAATATATATGACTCAAATTATGAATGTAATAAGCTGTCTCGAATTCTACATCAAGCATGGAGGTATTGTGGTAAATGAAACTCAGTGGAAGAAAAAATTTACATTACTAAATGTTAACATGACATCGACGATAAAGAAAGCTCCGTTTTACTATCTTACCTTTATTCTTTTATTAATTGAAAAACGGACACAATATGGCGACTGCAGAAAAACACCTTACACATGCAGAGAAAAATTAAGATACGTTCAAGTCAGACGAACAAAAGAGTTGTGGCTTTCGCAAGGTTTTACTTGCAACTGCTGACCAAGGCTGTCGGCTTCCTTAAATGTACAGTGCCATATTGAGTATATACAAACACTCATGCCATCTGCCCCAGTTATTCAACATTTTATAGAATTTGATTTGCGTCAAATCCTATTCTTTACGAATCAACAATAATACTTTAAATGTGTTAGGAAATTTGGATGATGTGGTTGGTTGACGAAGCAATGTTATAGAAGATAAAGTTTTTGATATTTTGTAGAATTACCTCTGTTTATAGCTACGAAGCAACGAAGCACAAATAATGCATCTAAAGTGAACAAACACGGCAAAACAAGTTAATGACTTCAAGTGCTCAATGACGAAAAATTACATTGCTCCCATAACGTATTTTACGTTT